ATATATATATGCATGAGTTAATTGAGATATTTGTAAACTCAAGCGAGAACCTTGCAAGGAGAATTGCATCAATATTCAACCATCTTTCTGTAAGTTTCTCCTACAAAAATTTATACAACCCCGTTTCGAAACATGTTCTTGTTATCTTTCCTCTTTTCAATTATCTGTTGCATATGTATGTGATGTGTGAATCAGAACTGTGTAGGCTCGCTCTTACTCACCCTCTCTCTGTAAGAGTGAAATTTACTTTCTAAATAAAATTGATTTGTGGTTGAAAAGTAAGAAATTTGAACTCTTCTAGCAAACTCATCAAAGAACATGTATAATAATAGTTATAATCATGATTTCATTATTATCCCAAAATAGAAAATGATCCAAAAACAACGATCCCAATCCTTTTGTTAAACTTAAAAGTAATATGAAGAGGTGTTGCATATAGCACAGTTGAGCTAGAGAGAGATTGTTTCAGTTTGATTTTAAATAAGTTTACTGCATTTAGTTTTAACCATTTTCATTTTCCTCTATTAAAAGCAGATTTCAATTGACCTGAGATGGCAGCAAATAATGCGACAAATGATGAATTATTAGCATCCTCTATTCATGGAAAACTTCACCGGCAGTCTCCATTATGTGCTCATCATTCCATATTTCGAATCCCTAATGTGCTGCTTAATGGTAATGAAAAAATTTATGTTCCAAATTTACTTTCAATTGGACCATTTCACCGTGGATTGGGCTTAGAAACCATGGAAGGAGTTAAACTAAGGTATTTGCATTGCCTCCTTGAGCGTAATCCAACTCCCAATAGTGGTTTAGTGTACTTTGTTAAAGCCATTAGAGGTATGGAACAAGATTGTCGCAATTGCTATGAAGAACACATTGATATGCTCAGTGATGAATTTGTAGAAATGCTGGTGGTTGATGGTTGCTTTATCATTGAACTCTTCCGAAAGTTTTCAGCTCAGGTGCCAATAGAGGTCGACGATCCTGTGATCCATAAGTCATGGATGCGCACGACGCTTATACATGACTTGCTTCTACTTGAAAACCAGCTTCCTTGGAGGGTTGTTGAATGTTTATTTAACCTCACTCAGGCCACTACTGCAGGTAATAACTATCCTCTTTCTCTTTCACTTCCTGTGCTTACTCTACGATACTTTAAAGAGTCTACCTTGGGTATGGATCCAAAGGTCAACGGAACATTTGTAAACAAACATTTACTTCACTTCATAAAAAACTCTTTACTTGGATCATATGCGGAAAAAACAGAGTTTGAGCACTCAGATTGGTCTCCGATTCCCTCTGCGACAAATCTTAAAAAAGCAGGAGTCATATTCAGATGTGGGAAAAAAGACGACATGCTCAACATAATCTACGAAAATAATGTCATGAAAATTCCACCCATAAGAATTCATGGGAATGGAGAATCTCTGTTTAGAAATATCATCGCTTATGAACAGTGTGAACCAATCGGTATAAGTAAATTTACCTCTTATGCTGTGGTGTTGGAAAACCTTATTAAATGTGAGGACGATGTA